AACATCTGGACTGTTCAGCAGCAAGTTGGTCGCGCACAGATTGGAGTTCCTGTAAAATTATGTTTGCTTTGTAATCAAAATAATCACAATGGTCTGAACAAACAATTTTTGTTTAGGAAAAAAAATGACATTTGCAGTTACTATATATAGCCCCCGTTTGTTGCCTATGAAAAATACAACCACCGCCTTTCACCGCCTACATGTTTGACCAAATCTTTATTTTCAACTTAATTTTTCCCCCAGATTTTTGTTTCTTAAGAAGATGGATCGCTGCCTACATTTGTTGTTTCTTATGAAGGAGGTATGGCCGCCTACATTTGTTGACTTCTGAGGGATGTATGGAAGAGGGATAAAATGGGAATATGAAATACATCCTGAATTATTTTGTATATATATACAGATGCCAAAGAATAAGAGGAATGAAAGATATGTTTTATTCCTACAGTCACCACCGTCTCATTTCCATTTAGTCAACAATAGTGGCGATATTTTGTATTCAACATACCCGCCTACATTTTTGACCAAATGGGGATAATTTGATTCTCCTTTTTCTCTTTTCTCCCATCTTTTTGTTTCTTATCAGTTTGAAGAGGGATAAAATTGGAAGACAAAATACGTCCTGAATGAATAGTAATCAAAGGAGTGTCTCTTTTAATAGAAGAGGGATACAACACTTCCTGAAACTTAATCAAACATAACCAAAAGCAAATTCTTAAGTAGCTTTTGATTTTTCAAAACCCTGCCAACGGCCTTAGATTTGGCCATTGCACTTAGCAGTTTACATTTAAATTACTTATTCACTTATAAAAAATTATTAAAAATTGATTTTTAGCGACATGGCTTTGTTCAAGCAGTTAATTAGTACAAAGACCCAAACCTCATCCTCTTCCACCCGCAAGCCTCCAGGCTCCAGCCGAATATTTAAGGTAGGGGAATCTTTCTCATTTTTGCTTTTTATTTTTTATTCTTTGGTGCAATTATAGCTCATGTGTGATGGAAATCAAAATCAAAATTTTAGTTGATTTTACTAAAAATTTATAAAATATATAGTTAAAATATTGTGAATTTCATTAAATGTGCAATTAAAATTAATTGTTGATTTTGACTTAAATTAAAATCTAGATTTTAATCAGTATCAAACATGGACTTAATAAGTAATTAAGCACCTATATGGTAGATTTAAGGGAACATTACATATATAAGGTGGTTGTAAAATACAATTTCAAAATTAAGAAATTAGTTCTATTATTTCAAAAATCAGGTCTTAATTAATTTTTATTTAAAAATATTTTATTAATTAAATGTATTAAGATCACAATATTATATAATTTACGATCACTGTTATCTATTAGTTATAATTACAGATGTTACAATCACAAATTTTATAGGTAACAACTTATTTCTTGATCACGAATTATCAAATTAATATGTCATGTATTATTTATCGATAACAAATCACAAATTTTATCAATCATGATTTATTTATTGATCGCAAATTATCAAATTAATAAGTAACATATTATTTTTCGATAACAAATCACAATTTTAAAAGTCACAAATTATTAAATTAATTGGTCACAAATTATCAAAATAATTAGTCACAACTTAACAAATTGTAAGTCGGATTACAAATTTAGTCACAATTTCACATCTTTTTAAGTCACATTATTTATCGATCACCAATTATATATTTTATCGATCACATATTATTTATTGATCACAAATTAATGATTTTATTAGTCACAATCACTCAAATAATCAGTTACAAACACTATTCATCGCACCCACACTTTACCTTCGACACCAATCGAATGTTGCACCACCCTGCCACCACAACCATTAGTGACCAACACTGCACCACTTCACCGCTACCACCACCGCCTCACCATCACCACACACATTGTCGCTGAATCCCACCCTACAATCGCCAACTCCAACAACCACCATCTCCACCTACATGCTACAACTCCAACAAACCACAAATGCACTACCATCACCTGTATCAACAATCGCATGTTCAAATCCACTCTCTCTCTTCCACCTCTTCCACACCACCACACCAAAAAAATCCCCAAATTTGTCACCGCCTTCTGCACTTTCAATATACAATAAATCAACCCCCAACTCCATCCATCGCAGAGAGAGAGAGAGAGAGAGAGAGAGAGAGAGAGAGAGAGACGAGACGAGAAAACCTGATTTTTGCAACCCCTGGAGAAAGTGATCGGCAACGCTGCTTTGGAAAAGATGATAGCCGCAACGAGAATCACCATTGTTGCGCGTAGCGATGCCTAGAGAAGTTGATCACCTTTGCGCGAAGCAGCGACGATACTTTGGAGAAGGTTGATAAATGTATTTTATACACTTATTCGGGGTCCTAAAATATCGATATTTGGTATTTATTTTGACAAAATATATCATAAATTGTTATATTTTATGTTATATAGATAAAACTCAATGATTGAACGAAGAATTCGAAGAAATACAAGAAAAATCAAGGAAAAAGAGCGAAATCCAAAGTTTTAGTACTAAATTGTAAATATTCAATAGTTGATTCGGACCACAAGATGATACTTCAAAGATTGCTAGGAGACAATTGAATGAAATTACAACTCAAAAAGGAATTGAATATGATCAAAATCAATTTTCGCACAAATTATATTCTAGATTTTTTGGTCGAAAATTGAGATTCATTTTCGGCATAGCAAATGTCCGGATTGGAAAAATTCTAATTCTATAAAAGTTGTAATATTTTGAATTAGCTTTCCAATGTACTTTGAATCGCTTCAATTGGATATCGGGAGAGAAAGTTATGGCCAAAAAACTGACTGCTATGCAGAGACAAAAAATTCGCGTGTGAAGACAACATTCCTTATTCGATTGAAACTTTTTTGAAAATCAATTTAGACGTAATTTTCAA